CCCCCCCCCCCCAAAAAAAAAAAAAACTGACCACATCTGGCTTAAAGTCTCATGTGATGAAATTGTCTGGGCACTCTTCATGTATAATTTGAGCTACATTTTGTTGGTTTGCTCTTGTGATTTTAGCGATTGGTTTATCATCTAATCAATACTGAATAACTTTGATTTTTTGGTATAAACAGATTCATGTGAGGATATGGTGACTGAGGACTGTTACATCAGCGTGGGGGATGATGGGGTTGCAATAAAAAGTGGCTGGGATCAGTATGGAATTTCTTACGGACGGTCATCTAAGAATATACTCATTAGAAATCTTGTTGTCCGCTCTACGGTCAGGTGAATATTATGCTTCTAGCAGGCTTTAATTGCATGTATATTGCCATCTTGTGAGTAAAAAATACTACTTTGTCATTGTATCCTGGTCCTGGCATCATGTTATGTATCTTTAATCATTAAAATAGAGGGGAGCCATTCAGCTCCAGTGCAGGGTATGTATTTACCCTCACACACTGGAGTGCGGAAGGCAACAGGTAATGCAGATAGCACTCCCTGTAAAATTCCTTGATACCTCTGTCCAGGCATTCTAAGCCCTCTAGCTCCAATTGGTTTTAGCATTTATGAATATGGTCTTCAATTTGGACTGAAATGCTAACCCAAAAAATACTGAATAATAACGAATAATAAAAGAAACAAACCGTAGTATGAAATCCATTAAAGAATTTCTTTTTGAAATATAGAGCTTGAAAAATGCATGAACACCCTCTACTCGTTGGCTATTTGACATTCCTGCTGAAAAAATATCTTTCACATATGCTGGCACCCATCTTGAACGTATTCTATAGATTGAAGATAGCCACTCATCATCATTTAGTTTACCTTTGTGGACCACATCCATCCACTTTGACTCAAATTCTTCCTTTGTGTCTGATTCCCACACACAACTTTGAAGTTCTCTACTTTCATCCTTATAAATGCAAGTGTTTATCTTTTGAGAAAACTTATCCAGAATGTGCCAAATGCAATATCTATGAAACACACCTGGAAAAGCTTGTGAAATAGCATTTCCCATCGCTGGATCCTGATCTGTAATAATTACTTTGGGTGGACCAGCAGGCATAGCTTTCTTAAACTGCTCAAACAACCAAAGAAAAGACTCAGTGGTCTCATTGCTCAAGAACCCACAACCAAAAAGAATAGTTTGACCATGGTTATTAACCCCTACCAATGGGGCAAATACCATACCATACCGATTAGTATTGTAAGTGGTATCAAATACAACCACATCACCATAAAACTTACAAGCTCTTCTAGATGTTGGATCAGCCCAAAAACAATGTTTAAGCCTATCATCATCATCAGCCTCTATCATAAAAAAGAAAGATTCATTTTTTGTTTGCTCACCAATAAAATGCTCACTCAACATCTATGCATCATGCCCCTTCATCTTTCTCTGCAATTGTCTTTTGTAGTTATATAAATCTTTCTTTGTATATCCAATGTTTTGCATCCCTCCTGCTTGCACTTCAAGAAGACTAAATTGTTGATGTGTTGGGATATTAACATCACCAAATCGTTGTGCCAATGCTTATTAACTTCAGAAATTTTGCGATGCGATCTCAACAAATGTACCATTTAAGGGGCTGTCAAAGCATGATTGTGGCCCTCCACAAAGTTAGAAATTATGTATTTTGTTCCTTCTCTTGTCTTCAGAAACGCAATCTTAGCGTTACACCCACTTTGTACTACACCTCGCCGCCTTTCACTTCCATTAGAAACTTCTTTGGAATATACTCCCTCTTTGTAGCGCACATATTCTTTTCTCAAGATCTCATTAGAAGTTTTACTCCTTTGCTGGCAATAACTTCGAACACTAAATCCCGCTTGTTTTGCATAGTTGTTATAGAAGTTATAGGCATCCTCAAGTGATTCAAACTCTTGACCAATTTTTGGTACATGCTGATCTTCTACTTGAGGATTGAAAACTAAATCTGAATTATTTTCATTAGTATCTTCCATAAATTCATATGTCCCGAGTCCTTCTTGTGGGCTTCCCATCTCTAAAGTTTCATCTATTAAAGCAAAAAATAACAAAAATATTAGTCAATGGAACATTGGTAAACAATAGCAAAGAATACTGTAGCAATGCTTGAACCAAAAGCCAAACTCGTAAGTGCACATCAAACCTGAATTAGATGAACTTTCAACCAGAAAATGAAATAGAATAACTTAGCCAAAACCATACAAAAACAAAGACCAATTAGTAGCCAAATTCATATAACCCATACATCAGTGCTTTCTATTTTTCCGATTCCAACCTTCGTGATTTCCGAAGAAACCCAAATCTTTTTAGTAAACAATCCCATACCACAAGAAAATCAGAAAATTTTGTATAAGCAAAATGGAAAATACCCATATATCATAAAGCAAAAAAAACACGAAGAAATAAAAATATTCTAACCTGGAGGAGCAGCTGTGATATTGCCAGGGATGAGAACACACGGAAGAGAAGGTGTTGAAAAGAAGAAATAAAAATATTATAACCCGGAGGAGCAGCTGTGATATTGACAGGGATGAAAGCACAGGGAAGAGAAGGTGTTGTGGTGGAAGAAAGAAACAGAGGTTAGTAGATTGGAGGTGTAAGTGCGGGAAATTTTGGCTCTTATCAAAAGACTGAAAAGCTTTGATAGAAATAGAAGTTCTCAATGATGTTTTAAATCTACAGCGTACAAGGAATCTAACGGTGACAATAGAAGTCCGCATTCACTCCGCACACTTGCACTTCGCAATAGAGAAAGTCCCTACTACTAAAACTCCCAAAAAAATAAACCTGGGTCTCGGATAAAGACTGGAACAGAACTCAAACTTCCAACTCAAATTCATGCAATACAATTGCAGAGGCAAAATGAAAAATCATAAACCCTAAAAGAGATAAACCCCCAAAAAATGAGCACAAATATTCACATTCCCTTCTAATCCCACCAATTGTTCAACCTTCTTTATCGTCCCAGCAATGACTTCAATGGACATTCTCAACTCACCCAGGCTTTACATTCCCAAAACCCACACCCACTTCAAATCCCCAAATCACTCAAAGCGTTTCAATTTGATTCGAAAAATTCAACCACAGCCACCTTTCCCTCACCGGACACTCACCCTCCTTTGCCAGTCGTATTCGGGGCCCTCGTCACGGTCGGGTGACACTAGCAAAGCCCCCCAGGACGATTTTGTGACCAGGGTCTTGAAGGAGAACCCAAGCCAGATTGAACCCAGGTACTTAGTTGGTGACAAGTTTTACACTTCGAAAGAAAAAGAGAGTTTGGTCAAGAATTCCAATGTGGGTTTTATTGAACTCTGGGCGAAGAGATTGAAATTTTCGAAGGCAGAACCGAAGAAAGAGAGGACTGAGGGTCAAAATGATAGTCAAGTGAGGGATGAATCTGTTTATTTGAAGGACATTTTGAGGGAGTATAAAGGAAAGCTCTATGTGCCAGAGCAGATTTTTGGGACTGAGTTGCCGGAGGAAGAGGAATTTGAAAGGAGTTTGGAGGAATTGCCCACAATGAGCTTTGAGGATTTTCAGAAAGCTTTGAAGAGTGATAAGGTTAAGTTGTTGACTTCTAAGGAAGTTACAGGGACTTCTTATGGGTTCACTGATTTCATTGTCGATTTGAAGGAGATCCCAGGCCAGAAGAGCTTGCATAGAACCAAATGGTAAAAATGAAAAAACATTTAATTACTTAAGGAGTTCTGCTTTTGTGGATGTTTTGACAGTTCAGTGATATTGTTTGCAATTTTTTAGGGCAATGAGGCTGGATGAGGGTGAAGCTCAGGCTCTTCTGGAGGAGTATACGGGCCCGAGATATGTAATAGAGGGGCATACTACGGTGATCAATCTTTGAACTCTTTTGAGCTTAGTTAATTATAACTTGTGAATCAATTGAAATTGGTTTTAAGAAAGGCAAAAGTTATTGTGAATTATCTTGTAGCACTAGTTTTCATGGTGTGAAATTAGAGTGTTTCTATTGTACTCCCATTCAGTTGGAGGTTCTGGTTTGAGTGCTTAGAAAGTGAGCATGGCTGTATTGACCTTCCTTTTTAAATTCTATTATCAATGATAGAAAACCTTTAGCTGTATGGACATACTCTGGTTCAAGAATTAGCTTCTATTTTCTCAAACTTAAATTTTTGCAGCTATCTCTTCTTGTATATGTTCCAGACATGAGGTTTGGATTATAGAAAACAATGTATTGTATTGATGCATATAATTGGAACCAAATGTTTAAAGAGTCAAAATTTTCCTTTTATTCCGACAGAAAATTGATATTTTCCTTACTGTTTGATTCCTCTGTTGCAGTCTTGGGTTGGAAAATTACCACAGTACCCTCATCCAGTGGCATCTTCCATATCTAGCAGAATGATGGTAGAGCTTGGAATGGTAACAGCTGTAATGGCTGCTGCTGCAGTTGTTGTTGGAGGGTTCCTGGCTTCTGCAGTATTTGCTGTTACCAGTTTCGTTTTTGTGTCGACTGTATATGTCATATGGCCTATAGTCAAACCATTTATTAGACTTTTTCTTGGTCTCATCTTTGGAATTTTAGAGAGAGTATGGGATAATCTTGTTGACTTCTTCAGTGACGGAGGCATTTTCTCTAAATTTTCTGATTTTTACACTTTTGGTGGTGTATCTTCCAGCATTGAGATGTTAAAACCAATTACAATTGTCCTTTTGACCATGGTCCTTCTTGTCCGTTTCACACTCTCTAGAAGACCTAAGAACTTCAGGAAGTGGGTAATGCTGCGTCATTTCTACAGTTTCTTTCCTTATTCTTCGCGCATTCATGCCTTGCCTTATTTATGCCATGGATCTGATCGCCATGAGTTGCACTTAATATTTGCAGGATCTGTGGCAAGGGATTGATTTTTCACGGTCTAAAGCAGAAGCTCGTGTTGATGTTAGTTTCTAAGAGTTATTCATTTGTGTAACTTTCTTAGCATGCTGAAGTTCTTCCTGAGGTTCTTAGAATTCAATATTGTATTGACATGTATGTGTTCAGGGGTCAACTGGAGTTAAGTTTAGTGACGTGGCAGGGATTGATGAAGCAGTAGAGGAACTCCAGGAGGTATTCGTTTTCACTAATTGTTAAGAATCAATTGCTTGTGTATTGCAATTTGTCCCCCAGTCTTAACTTAACTATAATTCTTGTTTGTAAATTTGAAATTAATGATAACTTATTGATATCTTTGATATTCTGCTGATTAGTTGGTGAGGTACTTGAAGAACCCAGAACTGTTTGATAAAATGGGAATAAAGCCTCCGCATGGGGTTCTTTTAGAGGGCCCACCTGGATGCGGCAAGGTTTGTTATTTGTCCTAATCTTCAATATGTGCACATGAAATTAGCCCGTAGTAATTTTTCAGTTTACTTGCCTGTTTCCAGACCCTGGTTGCTAAGGCCATAGCGGGTGAGGCTGGTGTTCCATTTTACCAAATGGCTGGATCTGAATTTGTTGAAGTTTTAGTTGGTGTTGGTTCTGCTCGTATTAGGGATCTATTCAAAAGAGCCAAGGTGATTATACTTCCCATTTGTAGTTGAATTCTGTAAATTGTGATTGTGCTCGTCCATATTTAATGCATAGAACTGTGTGGCTAACAACATTGGTTCTCCCGATATTATCCCACTTTGTCACCCAGAAGTGAGAACCGGGAACAACAAGCAAGTCATTCTCCTTTATCAGTAATTTTACAGAAAGTATACTTCCCTTTTAATAAGTGGTTCTTAGTGTAGAGTTTCTTCATCAATTAATGCATGGAATATTTGCTTTCTTGAAGTCCTGTTGAGATTGCTACATAATGATCTTATTTTTCGGTGCAGGTAAACAAACCATCAGTTATTTTCATTGATGAAATTGATGCATTGGCTACGAGGTATGCATATTTCTCTTGGTGGATTTTAATGAATTGTGTGGATTTTAAAATTTTGTGAGGAACATGGCTTCATGACATATCACCATTGTGCAAGCTGCTGGCTGAAAAGTGTCTAGTCCATAATTTTTAGTTGGATGCTAATACTAGTACTACATGTTTGTTATCGTATGATCAGGCGTCAAGGGATTTTTAAGGAATCTTCCGACCACCTGTATAATGCAGCCACTCAAGAGAGGGAAACTACACTGAACCAGCTCTTAATAGAGCTTGATGGGTTTGATACTGGTAAAGGTGTTATATTTTTAGCTGCTACAAATCGCAGGGATTTGTTAGACCCTGCACTTCTCCGACCAGGTCGTTTTGATCGCAAGGTTTGTTTCGTTCTGAGTAAAAGACTGTTAGAAGTTAGAATTAGTCCACTCTGTTAGTTCAGGGACTTTTAACTCTTTGGTTTAAGCTTGACACATTATCAGTCACATCATACCTTTTTTTTTTAATCAGACATCATACATCTTTATGTGATCCTAAATGAGCCATTAAACTATTTTCCAATTGTTGGTTGGAATTGTCCTGCTGGATGATTCTCTATTGGATAATTTAGCGACTTTTTAAGAACTAGTGGATATAAATTAATTGCAGGTCCAAATGTATCTGTTTTCTGCTTTATCCATAAATTGTATATGTTAGCTCTGTTGAATGAATCAATGAAATTTACTGGTTTATTGTTATTTGGGTTTTATCATGTAGATAAAAATTCGTCCTCCTGCTGCAAAGGGGAGATTGGATATTTTGAAAATCCACGCAAGCAAAGTGAAAATGTCAGAGTCTGTTGATTTGTCCAGCTATGCACAGAACTTACCTGGTATGCATCCGTCTTTGCTGTTCCATATAATTTGGTATTTGGATGACTAAACATTTGATAATTATTAGGATGGACGGGAGCAAAGTTGGCTCAGCTGGTCCAAGAGGCTGCACTTGTAGCGGTGAGGAAGGGGCATGAGTCAATTCGTCAGTCGGACTTGGATGATGCAGTTGATAGACTTACTGTAGGACCAAAACGGGTTGGAATAGAGTTAGGTCATCAGGGACAATGTCGTCGAGCCACTACTGAAGTTGGAGTTGCAATAACTTCTCATCTGCTTAGGCAATATGAGAATGCAGAAGTTGAATGCTGTGATCGTATCTCAATCATCCCTCGTGGTCAGGTGCTCTTTCTGCTTCTTTATCTTCTTTTTTGCCCATAGGCTGATTTGTAAGTTGTTGCTCTTATATGTTTTCAACACTTTCTGATGGATTAACAGTTGTGTGGTTCATTACATACTTAAAAGATGAAAAATTAATTTTACTTAAAACTTGTCTTTTTAAATTAATTTCACTGTTCATTTGCACGTAATGACTAATTTGATATAACTATAATAGTATTATGACCAAAAAAGATATAACTATAATAGTAGTATTTGACTCTGGAGTCATCTTTCCTATCACTTGTTACTTATGGAGTGATTTGTTCAGACATTATCGCAAGTTGTATTTCATCGACTTGATGATGAATCATACATGTTTGAGCGCCGGCCACAATTGCTGCATCGCCTTCAGGTTAGCTTTTTTATTGTTTATGGTTTCCTTTTAACTGTATCCTATTCATTAATTTTGATTTTTTTTTTCTTTCCCCATGCAGGTTTTACTTGAGGGATCACTGTACCACGACTATGACCTAATTGAACCACCGGTGAACTTCAATTTAGACGATGAGGTTGCGAAAAGGACTGAAGAGCTGATACATAATATGTATGACAAAACACTTTCTTTGCTTAAAAGGCACCATGCAGCCTTGCTTAAAACTGTGAAGGTAATTGGTCTGCATGTAAATTTGCATCTTGGAAGTGTTACCGATATTTATCCTTCAAGTGCATATGATTGAATTTCTTGAATATCTGATGAGGTTTTAAGCGGTGTAATGACTTGCGGGCTTCTTTGACTTTCATTTCAGGTTCTTCTTGAACGCAAGGAAATTAGCGGCGAAGAAATCGATTTTATCTTGAACAAGTACCCTCCACAGACACCCTTAAAGCTTCTTTTTGAGGAAGAAAATCCTGGCAGCCTTAAGTTCCTCAAACAGGAACAGGAACGTGAGTTAGAGTATGCCCTTCTAACTCAATCCAAAGGAGAAACCCTATGATTAAATGAAAGATCCCATACATGGGGGCTCTCCGTGTTCTTTGTGTACCGTGCATGCATGAGGACTGCATTGGCAGCTTCATTGCCATCAAGAGCGTGAAGAGCATGAATGAGATTGTGTCGTGTAGTTTTGTTGTGTGCTACCCAGAAGGTGTAATCTATCTTTTGTAATTCAAAGCAAGCCCATTTTTCCTTTTTATTGGGCTTTTTATTTTTGTTAATTTGTTTTGTTCTTGTGTTTGATAGATGTAGCTCAGCTGTAGTTATTAGAAAAAGCCAGGAATGTAAAGGATTAAGAATTCCAAATTCATCTGTACTTTTTTCATTTAAACATCAATGAGATCAGAACTCCGATAGTTGGATACAATCATCAAATTTTAAACCTAATGAACATTATAAGTGAAATCTTGTGTCACAAAATTTCCAAAACTACATTCAAGTTAGGCACGGTGTCTAAAATATGGAGTACTGTTTCGCTCACTAAATTTGTTTATCAACTTTGCTTATTATGATGTGGCAATGACTCATTTATTCAATTTTTAATTTACTAGAACAAACTTGGCAGTTTTTTATTAATCAATCGGAGAGTAGAAGATTCGAACTTGAGTTCTCTTCCAATATTGGTGTCTTTGAACATTTTAGTTTTCAAGCCCTTAGTGGCAGTGGAAGTGGCCGTTGAAACTGGACACACCAAATTAAGCCGTTGGTAAGATATGGGTTAAACTTAAAGTTCAACTTAAACTTGCTCTAAAACCGACTTATGCGCCATTCAACGGCAAAGAGCAGTTCCCGCACGAATGGGAATAATTTAGCCACAAAAAACAGACAAGGACTTTTCGTGATTCCAACTTCTGAGGAAAGACCACATTTTCTCTCCCCCTCTTCCCTCTGTCGCTATGCTTTTTGATGCAACAGAAGGGCCCAGCAAAACCCTTCAACTCAACGGCCCTTCCTGCACAGATGAGAGATGAAGAAGCCTCGGAATGGCTCCTTATATATCAAAAGCCAAAGCAAAGACACCAATGAGACCTTCAATTTTCAGAAACACAATGAAAGCTGCAATTTTCAGAAAAACAATCACAGCTGCAAGAACAAAAACAAGAAGAACAACTACAGCACCAATAAGAGCAAGAGCTTCTATGAACTATCTGTGTCTTTGATCTTCTCACTTTGGTGCCTTGTCTTCCTGTTCTACTCTAAACTTGGTCTTGGCCATGGGAATGGAGGTATTATCTTTTCCATTTATGATTTATGTTCCATTTTTCTTTGCTTTGGCTTTTCTCTATTTCTTATTCTGATTCAGAACTTTTATTTATTTGGTTTTTGGATTTGGATTCTTAGTAAATTTTGTATATATATATTTTTGGTGGTTTTGGCTCTACTTTCTCCCACTTTCATCTAATTCCTTAATACCCAATTTTCATTTTTGTATTTCTAGCAAACCCATTTCCTGAATCTGCATTTTGTATCAATATTTCACTAATAAGTTGAAGCGCAGAAAGAAAGCTGAAGCCTTTAATGTTCCCCTAATAAGTTTCTTAGAGAATAACTATCCAATTAGTGGCTTTAGACTTTTCTGTCATAGCATAGTCAAGTTACATGTGAATGAATTGAAGAGGTGAATTTTCTCTTTGGGTATGATAGTGTTAGAAGATTCTAATTTCTTTTTGGTTTCAACAATTTTCTGTAGCATGAAGAGGCCTTCGTTTCTTATTCACTATTTCATTTTTTAGTGGTTTTGGTTTTTTCTTAAAAATGTTAATCTTTAGAAACTAGACTCTGAAATTCCCAAGTAGGGTTTTCTGACTTTTTCTTTTAGATATATTGATTTTTTCGTATGCGACATCTCTGCCATGGTTTGTCAATTGCTTCCTTAGTTGATGTGTACTGTTGGGAAAATCTCTTCTACTGGTCCCCTTACATTCTTGGTCATGAATGAAATTGTGTCTGTGATTTACCAAATCTTATCTTCTAGCTGGAATTAAGAGAGCTTTCTTATGGAATCACCATTCTTCTATTTTCAGATTCATGATTTTAGGATAAGCTACTTAGGTGGCATTTTAACTTTTATCCTTGTCTATTTATTTGATGCATAATTTGTTTAACTTGAGCCTATATCATCTTCAGGGAATTCAGCTCCTGATAACAGAACTACACATTGTCCTAGTGTTCGCAATGGTAAGCACGGTGATCATGCATGCTCATTTGTAGAAAACGGAAACGGAAGGCAGACTAATGGAATGCTATTAGATTTTGGTTCGTCTAAAAGCTGTAATGATTCTGATGTATCTCACAACTATGCAATTTCCAAGTACTCACTTCCAGAGACAAAGAGGTTAGAAAAATTAGTTTGGAGTGTTTTAGGTTATGGTGATTTGGTTTGTGAAGTACATCAAGCACAAGAAGAGCAGAACACAAATCATTCAGGGCAATATCTGAATGGAAGAACTTCTCATTCCACCTATCTCAATTTTGATGAATTTCGAAACATAACAAAGCAAGAAAAAGGTCAGGATGTGCCTAGTCAGCTCGTTAACATTACCCATGGGCTTGAACCTGATGGAACGGAGTACAACTATGCCTCTGCATCCAAGGGTGCAAAAGTGGTGGCTCACAATAAGGAAGCAAAAGGAGCAAGCAACATATTGGGCAAGGATCACGATAAGTACCTGAGAAACCCTTGTTCCGTAGGGAGGAAGTTTGTTATCGTTGAACTTGCAGAAGAGACTCTGGTAGATGCTGTCAAAATAGCAAACTTTGAGCATTACTCTTCTAATTTCAAGGAATTTGAATTGTCAGGTAGTTTAAGCTATCCAGCAGATGCATGGTCCCCGTTGGGAAGCTTTGTTGCTGCTAATGTCAAGCATGCTCAAACCTTTAAGCTGCCAGAACCCAAATGGGTAAGATACTTGAAGTTAGATTTGCTAAGTCACTATGGATCAGAGTTTTACTGCACACTGAGTGTTCTAGAGGTGTATGGTATTAATGCAATTGAGCGAATGCTTGAAGATCTGATTGTGGCGTCTGCAGAATCTGTGGCCAATAAATTGGCAGAGCCTAATGCAACTGTAATATCTTCTCCAAAAGAAGAGGTTGGTTCAACTGACCGGAGGACAAGTGGTGAAGGTCAAAATGGGGTACAAACGGCTGGTGTAGGGATGGAAAACATTGAAGATACACAAAAAGTCAATTTAGACGTTACCAAAAATCCAGTAACTACGAACAAAATTCCAGAACCTGTTATGAAGGTAAGACAGCAGCCAAATGGAAGAATTCCTGGTGATTCTGTTCTGAAGATTTTGATGCAAAAGGTGAGGTCACTTGAGCTGAACTTATCTGTGCTGGAGGAATATATCAAAGAATTAAATCGAAGACAAGGGGATATCTTGCCGGAGGTTGGTAAAGAGCTATTAAGATTATCATTGCTTTTGGACAAAACCAAAACGGAGATTAAAGATCTCATGCAATGGAAGGAAAATATGGTACTGCATGGTTTTTTCTTCTTGAATGTCTTTTCAATTTGTAATGTTTATGCATATAGTTTTTGGGAAAGGAAACTTTATTCGCCTAATCGTTTGGCATCCTTCAATTCTCCAGGAAAAAGAATTTACTGACCTCAAATCATGGAAAGCTGTTGTCTCATCTCAAGTGAATGCATTGGCCAGGGAAAACAACATGTTAAGGTTAGAAATATGTCTCAACATATTATTACAGTTCTGCACAATTTTTTTTATGCACTAAATTTTGCTTCATATCAGTCTCTTTGACTCACTGACATGAATCTTTGTTACTGCAGATTGGATTTTGAAAATGTCAGGAAAGATCAAGCGAGCCTGGAAAGTAAAGAGCTTGCTGTTCTAGCCGTTAGTCTTTTCTTTTTGTGCTTTGCCATTCTCAAACTAGTTTCATTGCAAGTTTTGACATTTTTCAGAACCTCCTCTCAGCCTGAGAATGCATGCAGGAAAAGTAGAGGTTGGGTTTTGATGATTGTTAGCAGCAGCATGACAATATTCATTACTTTGATCTATAGTTAGTCTTTCCCCTCTTGTAGTGCCATAGGTTTTTGGCTCCTTGCTCATTAGATCTTTTGTATAAAAAGAAGAGAATGGTGTTGTAGAGAAAGAAAAAAAAAAGGTTGGTTGTCTTTTTATTTCCATTTTCCTTTTTTCTGAGCTACATCATTACAAACAATAAGAAAATAATCGGCAATCCTGGGCTCTTTGCAGCCAAATTTGCAAAATTTGATGCCTCAAGGCCCAACTTGTCTTCGCTGGCCAGCAGCCCATTGGTCCAACCCATGATCTGGTGTCGTTGTAATCGAATCTTTTTCTATTATTCTTTTATTCTGTTCTGTACGATGAAACTTCTTAACTCGACCAAAATGACAAAAAGTCTAAAATGCACTGCACAGTCTGCACTGAAATGATATTAAACTTGTATAATGAGCCATTTCCTTCACTTAACTCCGTTTTATTTGGCAGATGGGAGCTAGGGCAGTGTGTCATTCCTCTTACACTCGAGTCGATCCTCCTCATCGTAAGTTAGGGTAATGGGGCCTAATTCATTTGAAAAAGAGCTTTGATTTATGGATCAGTAGTCTTAAGTATTGTCATAGCACTCCGAGTGAGAAAACCTCACTCCCCTTTTCTAACTTTGACAAAGAGTAAGTTAGACTATCGCTTATACATATATAAAAGAATCCATTTAATTTGTAATTTTAATTTGTAAATAATTAACCATTTATTAAACCATACTCTATGAAGGCAAAGCACCCTCCAATTCACTCCATTGACTTGGCAAAATTGAGTACCCAATTTCCATTCAAGACTATTCACTCTAATGACAACATTTTATATGGAAACGAATGATAATTTTTTAAAAATACATTAATTAAAATTTGACTGACAAAAATTGATTTAATAGTAAAAATAAGGAAGTTAAATTACGAAAACATCCCCCAAGAAATTTATGTAAAGAATAATCGGTCATTAATTAATTAATATTATTATTTAATATTGACCCGGCACACACGGTTCGAGTTGATTCTCGGACCTCAGTCCGTTACGACTCACGAGTCACAGCTCACAACCACCCTCTCTCTCTCTCTCTCCACTTATCTCCTGAGAAAGCCTGAAACTTCTGTAAAATTCAATCTCCGCATTAGGGTTTTCCAAACAACCCCACCACAGCAAACCACGCCGAGACGAAACGGCGCAATTTCGCTCTCCGCCACACACACAATACACCCTTATCGTGGACCCTGCCGCACCAGATATTTAGGGTTTTCATGTTCTGCAAAGCTTTCATGTCTTATGAATGGAGAGCATTGCCTTCAGTCTCTCATCTCCCCAAAACTTCTTCGTAGCGCTCGTAATCACTTTTCTCTCCTTCTTCCTCGCTCTCCTCGCCGTCCGATCACTCCCTTTCAAACCCAAATCAGGTGGCTCGGCTACCGACCTGTCGACGTCGAATAAAAACGAAAAGCTGCGAGCTTGCTGTGCTTGCAACTGTAACGACGTCGTCTCCGGCTCCGATTCGGAGCCGCTGAGGACGCCGCACTTGAACGGCGGGACCGGTCCAGACGTGACGGAAAAGACGGCGAAGGCGATTACGGAGCGGCAGACGGGCGCGTCGATGATGGAGCAGCTTGTTCCGGAGATTACGACGCACGCGCTTAGCTACTTGGACTATCCGAGCCTCTGTAGGCTTTCGATGACCAATTCGCTCATGCGAAAGGCCGCGAATGATGATAATGCGTGGAAAGCGCTTTATCATAAGGTATGCTATTGGTGAATTTATCGAACTTCTTGTATTTGAAGTATTTGTATGTTGGTCTTTGTTGAATTTTGATTTGAAGGCGAGGTGGTTTCCAATTGAAGGGATGGTGTGTTTGGTTGTAGAGAAAATGTGGGAAAATTTGGACCCTTTGTGCATGTAAGTTAATCGGAAATTGGTTGGGATTGTTTGCTTTGTTGTTGTTGTTTATAGTATTGGAACTTTGGGTGTGGCTTGACGTGTGGGGCGAGATTAGGATATTGCATTTTACTTTGCTACATTTGTAAGTTGGGATGTGAAACATGTGGGATGAGATTAGGCTATTGTGTGTTTACTTATGGCACATTTTGGGTACCTGAGAAGAACCTTGTTTTAACTGCATTGGATTTATTCTCATATTTTAGCTGCATGAAGTTTTCCTTCAATTAAATGATGAAATATATATCAAAAAATTTAATCTTCGTTTCTTTTATCTTGGTTTAATGTGCAGCCAATTTGTATCTGATCTTAGAACCAAAAAATTCTGTATGATCTGAATTGCAATATTGTTACAAATATTACTTTTTTTATGTCTCTTTAATTAGAGAAGTACTCGACTGAGCGTCTCTGTATTTTTCCGCCTGAAACGATAAGCAAGATTTAATTATTTGAAAGTTATTGTGTGATTGCTTGTTGGGATGGATGTTTAATTTAATTTTGAAAACAGAAATTTATCCATCTTTGAAATGCTAATGCATGTCAGTTCTTTATTTTCACACATCAAACGGGTCCTAAGAATATTTTGTTTTGGGTTTTTCAAATTCTCTTCTAGGACTTCACATTGGAACAGGATGGTATAACACCAGTTAATGGGTGGAAGGCTTACTATGCTGCTACAAGAGCGATTGTGAATGTCAATACTGAATTCTTTAACTTCATCAGAGAAAGGTCACTTGCAGAAATGAGTCGTTTATGGCTGAATGCAGACTATGTGAAGTGTGTTCATGCCTCAGGAGAACTCTTTTCAGGGTAAGATGCCTCCTATTTGTGTACACTGTATGGTAACTGCACTTCTGTCACGAGTGCTTTCTTCTGTTAACCTCATCCACGCGATGTGAAAATGTTGTTTTTTGTTTTTTCTTTAAATCACTGCTAGTCCTTTGATTATGCTTTTTGTATCCATTGTGAAAAATAAAGCTATGCATGACTTTAGGGTTTTTTCTTTTTTCAATGGGAGTGAATTTCTGTTTTTCAAACTCGGATTTAGAGAAAAAGGTCAATGAAATGGCCACTCGCAGCTCATGAGATGCCTTTCAGTTGGGATTTGGGGGGAATTGAAAGAATGAGGCTGTGCATGTTGTTCTAAAAAGCTTTGGCAGTTGTTCTGTGCATTTTGTTCTAAGTCATTTTTGCTTCCTCTTCAGGTATAATGCAGTAATACAGGGTTGGCGACTTGCGTTTGATTGGGAGCAAGGGGCCAACTTTCAGATTCGGGATGTGCGTGCTCGGGTTCTGACAGACATGGCTTGGGTTACCATGAAAACTTATTTTGAAATCGATATCAAGCCATTCATTGTGACCAACGTCTTTGAGTTCCATAATGGGCGATGGTACCTGGTGCATCATCACAGCTCTGATATGAATGGAGAGGTAGAACAGCCGATTGTGCAGGGGCAATAAAGAAAGGAAGATATGATGATATCGATTATATACTTGATACTAGTTTTGAAAAAAGAAAGAAAAGAAAAAAAAAGAATAGTGGGTATCTTTTGCAGGAGCAAAGTCGCTTTAACTTTCACTATATTTTTCCTTGCAAGATGCTGTTAATTTTTCCAACCTCAGTTTTGGTTGTTTTCTGTTCAAGAGGTTTATCCGTTTCTTTTCTCATCCTCTCATTGTTATTGTGATAAATGTTGATAAATTATTTGCGAAATTAATTACTTGGGTATAAAAATGAGTTTCGAGAATACTTGAAGGAACCAAGTTGCTGAAAGTTATTCAATTATGGTCTCTTGAAAAGAGAAGATTGAGGGTTTTATTTTTATTTTTTATTTTTTATTATTTGTCTGAAAGATTGAGGGGAAAAGTTTGTGCAGGAAAAAATGGTACAAACTGGCTGAAATTGGATTTTGAACAGAATTAAAATGATTTGAAAGTAATTCTTTATGCGTGGTCATTCTATATGAACTATTTGCCTTCAATGCATCAGAAAAACTGGTACAGATAACTGATCTTAATCGTTCTCCATGGATTTCACAACAAGAAGCTCTCTGTTTGCTCATCTAAAAAGTTTGTAATATTATTAGTCAAAATTTAAAATCAATCCCCGTTTGGGGGCACGCTAGGGTTTTGCAGTTCTTTCCCATGAAGTGTGAGCCATAAGCTTCTCCTTTATAATCCCTTGCTAATTTCGACGGGCTTTGAATTTTAATCCCTGGACTGAATGCGTGGAACTAACCAACCAACCCATAGACGTGTGTACACATGGCAGCTTTCGCTAGTGTAGAAAATTTTGGGTTCAAAAGCATTGAGGTGAGATGAATAAGCATCTGAGGTTCCATGGTCTAGCGGTTAGGACATTGGACTCTGAATCCAGTAACCCGAGTTCAAGTCTCGGTGGAACCTTTCCTTTTTAATTTTCAGGCCTTATTTTTGCATCAGGCTTGAAAGTTATAAAAGGTACCCTTTCAAAAACAAGAAAAAAGAAAACATAAATGGAGAAATAATAAAGTATGCATAAGAAACAAAAACATATATTTTTCTCAATTCATACTTGATTAATGTATGAGCCTGAGCCTCACAAATTAAAACAAAAGGAGGGAAGTTTGGTGGCTTATTATCCAGTCCCCTCATTCTCAAAACAAACACACAGACAGGCAGACACAGAGAGAGAGAGAATGGGAATAGCCCTTCTCTCAGTGCAAGCCCCTCATCCCATCTCTCTCTCTCAGTTTCCTTCCACCAGCCCAAAGACTTGGTTGCATGGCTCAGCAACTCTCAAAACAAATCCTTCTAAGTCTGCCATTCTTCTCTGTGCCGCTTCAGTTGTAGAAGGCCAAGGCCCTGCTTCTCCTCCACCTGATGATTCACTTGCTGCCCAATCAGAATCTGCCACTGAACCCACCAAAGAGCTTCCCCTGAGGTACACGGTACACCAAATATTTATCATACACCTACCCGCTTGAACTTGGATTCACTGTCAATTATATCTTTTGTAGAATGCTTTTTCTTTCCCTTGTTGCCCTTTATTTAATTTTAAATTGATATCATCCGAGTCAAATTTAGGTTTTCTATGCAAATTATCACATAAATCCATTCACTAGTCAAAGTTGTGGACTTTGGTGTGCAGGTGTGTGTGAGAGATATAGATTGGATTTTTTGGATTTTTTTTTCTTTCCAAATTTTGAATCTTTTGGGCCTTGCCTCTATGATTGTGAATTTTGATGATTAATCATAATCATGATATGTGGTTTTTGCTTGGAACCAACTTTGGTGCAGTGGTTGCAAGTCCTGTGGGAGAGAGGAAGTGGAGAAGGGATGCAATGGAGAGGGAAGGATTCAAGGTGGAATTGCAACTATTCCAGGCTTTGGTTGGTGGCCAATAAAGGCATACAGGCCCTGTCCTGGATTTTTGGCATCAGGCGGCCGGTATAGGCGGCAAGGACAAAGCTTGGATGAGGTTGCCTTTGGAAGGGGAGGAAGAGGAGACTAGCACTAAGGCAAGCTTTGATTTCCCTGTAAAACACAGGTTTTGGATTTGCTTCTGTTTCTTTTTTCTTTTCTTTTTTCTGTTTTTCTTTCTCTTTAACAAAAACAGTAAGAAAAGATGAGAAGAACAAATAAAAGTTTACTTCAATGTTTCACAACTCTCACTACAACCTAAATAAGAAAAAACCAAAATTAAACGGTACGAAAAGATGAGAGCCAGAGGTTGCTATCTGAGGTTCTTCCATCATGGCATCTCTAGAATGTAGTTGGATTAAAACAGTTCACTCATTTCTTATGTAATCAATGGTTATTGCTTGTCAAATTATATTTCTTCTGCCATACATGAACTCTGATGTTATGCTTGGTTAAATTCTTGTGCCAGATTTTTTGACTCTGTCAAATTCTTGGTTAGTGGAGCAAAGAATAAGCGAGGTCCAAGGATACTGAAGAGATAACTGCATGAGAGTGGAGCTTTGACGGCACGGCATGTAGTTTTTATGAAAAGTGTGGAGCCAGTGCCCAAATTGTAGAGTTGTATGTGAAACCATCTGGTATATTTACCACATTGAATTGAAAAGACTCTAAAAGATAGATGATGTGTGTTATATTTTCCTATACAGAAAACCATCAAAACTCCCTCCACTACAAAGCACTTAACCTCAAGCTAGAGGCAAGGTGTTCAAAGAGTTCAACACTCTTAACTTTATACGACAATCTGACGAAAACTGACGATCCCTAGCATGATCTAGGCCTGTAAGATGATCCCTTGGATTATGTTCTAAAAAAACATAGGTTATACACATGAGCAATTAGATCCGGAAAGCTAAATAGGGACAATTACAATCTAAGACAGAACTAAAATGCTTCCTAAGGGTGTGTGTCTGGGAAGAAAGAAAGAGAAAGTGGAGGAGGAGGCTGGGAAGGAAGAAAGAGAAGGAGAAAGTCACTCACATCAACACACTTGTTCTTACCCTTGTAAATAGTTGCTCATAACCTTGGAAGGGTCAGCATGCATTTTTCTATGGGCTTTGCCATTTGAAATTCTGGCTGGGTTTGCCGAAAGCCCCATTGGGATTTTAACTGAATTTTTAGTTCAGATTTTTGAGGCATTTAGAATCTCTAAATATTATATTGTTCTGAAAATTTATTATTATTTTTGGATTGGAATTGTGTCTTAATAATAATGTTACTATTAATACCGACATGGCCATATAGGCCTGTTCTATTCAAACAGTTGAAGACAGTGTATGTAGTGGAGATTGCGTATATGAATGGGCTTAACGAATTTGTTGTGATGAAAAACACGTGATTCTTAGGACACTCTGATTTCCATCACTTGGTGGAAACATTGCAATTACAAAAGGTGTATCAGCTCAAGTTAAGTCACAATTGAAAGTGAAGGTTTCGCGGTTCTTGGGACTAAACAGTGAGTTTTGGGTTTAATTGCTTTAGGGTTTAAAGATTAATTGCTTTAGGGTTTAAAGATAAACATGTAGTTAATTTTCTATTTTACCTTTTTTACAGGTTGCAACTCGTTTCTAAGACACGACTCTGAAGACTCATCTAGGTATGTTGGTTTGATTAAATTCATAAATGAGTGATCAGTAACCGTAGATTTTATCCCATGTTGGAGAATAATTACATTTGCAAACGTGTTAGATCAAATTCGACTCTCATTTTGTTTTCCGGGTCGGATTTAGACGTTTCATTTCTTGCCGGCCAAGAAACAATATTTTATCTCTTTTTCCCCTAATCGAACAAACCATCAAAGAACTCAATGTCTACCATTTCGATGGCTCAATATCTCGAAACAAGGAGATTATGGGTGATCTCACCAGAACGTACCACACAGCTGCTAGGTCTAGAGACAAGTTTGCAACATTTGTTCATGTTGAGAATGAGGAGGTCTACATTACAATGAGGGAACATATGAGAGCCTGGTCGACATAAAGCAGAGGGGACCAGAATGGTACCCTCCCCATTCCTCATAATAGATATTAGAATGTTGAGGAGATCAGAGATATGGCTTTGGAAGTAGGACTCCACCATGTAGTTGTGCGAAATCTTCGGAGAGAAAGACGCACCAAGGGATTTAGGGATTCTTCAAGGTTCTCAATCACCCCATTCTCACAACCCAATTGGATTTTCAAGGATTTTAGTAATAAACTCATTTTAGCATGATATAATATACAAAAGCCGTTATAGAGCTTATTTGGGGTAAAAACCCCAAAACTAGACACTTGTTTTTTTCTAATTGGTTCTTATCAAACTTTAACACACTAAGAATCAATTAGAAAATGACTATAGGTTCTATATGAGTTTTTGTATAATATTTGTTAATGGATCCTACCACCACTATGAGCCGAGCCCACCAGAGGACACCACGTGGCCCTGAGAGATAAGGTCGCTTATGTACTGACCCAACCACATGTCATATCCTTGGCATCAACAGATAGGCTCCTCTGAGCAGGATATGACGGAGCAAGGGCTGGACCAGTGATCGGAGCTCTAGTCACCGACCCGACCACTGTGGCTCTATATCTCAAACCAATAGGGCATTAATGAAACAGCCTGGCAGGAGGGAAAGGTCAGTGGACACACTTCCCATCCTTAACCAGATGTCGCATTACCCATCGATCTCCGGGTGGACAAGCTGGTGATGGAGAGGGATCATTTAATACATCTCACATCCCTGTTCACTTGTCACTTCTCCACCTGACTCTTATCAAGGAAGTATGTGGGTCAGAAGCAGAACATTAAATGTAGCTCACCATAGGGGAGTAGAGAATAAAAATCTCCTTCATTAAATATCTTGGTCGTTCTCTCTCCCCTATAAATACTTCTCACCAATCTCTTGACAAAGGTAATAAATATTCTCATTGTGAAAACCCTACATTCATTCTCTCCCACCAAAGATAGTTCCTAACTTAGTCATAGGAGAGGGTTCAATTGGGATCAACCCCAGTTCGCCCTTGTTCTGATATTGTTCCACGTGTGCAGGTCTTCCTTCGGAGATTATACTTCCACGGGACTAGACACGGGCCCAGGCCCCAGCTTTAAGCCAAGTCATCTATACGAGAGGGATACTCGGTTTACAATATTTCATGCTAAAATTGGTTTTTGAATAAATGTTTGTTGATCTTCTTCCCTCAGTGGAATGGAAGTATTGGCCACTCACTAGAAGCTCTTGGTCAGGCATTGGCAATGAGGTCTTGCCCTGTTGGAAAATGCCATGCCTTGGAAAATAAGTGAGGATTTTATAAGCTAGTTTAGGGCCCTTGAATTGTAAGACTACCCCAAAATCTGTAAGAACCCTGACGGAGTTAGGGCACTCCCAGCAGTTCCTTTGAGGAATCTTTTGGCAAAAATGTATTTAACCTACTCACTTAACGGAAACTAACAACAAATGTATAAATTATAAACTTTGAGTGATATAGTAATTAATTTGGCTAAATTTTTTTTCTCAATGACCAAGCCATGATAATAATATGTTGAGTGTATTATCGTCAGGGATTAAGCCCTTAAGATGCTTTTACACCTTTGACCAATCAAATAGTGAAGCGTGGCTCCATTACTGTGTACCAGTCCGCATGGAATAAAACCCGCTCTTTGACAGCATCCCCAAATGAACAGAACACACGGAGCTGCACAGTGGCACAGAGCTTCCCCAATTAAGCAAAGAAAAAAGTTCGTAGAATCTCTCCGTGCAAGAACTTCAGAAGACAAAAAAATGGATGCCGAAACCGAACAAAAGATCGAAAAAACGGTGCGTGGAATACTGGAAAAATCGGACATGGACGAGATGACAGAGTTCAAGATTCGAAAGCGGGCCTCTGAAGTGCTCGACCTAGACCTCTCTAAACCCCCCTACAAGGCGCTCGTCAAACGGGTCGTCCAGTCCTTCCTCGAAGAGCAAAATCAAAAGGAACAACAACAACAAGAAGTAGAAGAAGATGAAAACCCGAAAATTGGTGATGCCCAGGACCAGGAGTATGATGATAATGGCGATCTCGTCATTTGCAGGGTCAGACTTTCTCTTCACTCTGTTTGTTTCCCGAGAAAAAGAAGAAAAAAAACCCAAGAGATGAAAAATGAGTGTGTTTCTTGTTTTGTGTTCACCTTAATTTTGTATTTACTTGTTGGGTCTTTTTGGGATTTGGGGTTTGGTTGTGATGCAGCTTTCATCGAAGAGGAAGGTGACACTTCAAGAATTCAGAGGGAAATCATTGGTGTCTATAAGGGAGTTTTATAGTAAAGATGGCAAAGAGCTTCCTACTACCAAAGGTAATCTATTTATGTCCTATTTGAAACACCTCCCTAGTCCTATGGCATGTTAATTTATCAATTTATGCATGCATATGAGGCATTGATTTAAGCTTGCAGCTTCAATTACTTACATTAGATTTGTCTGTGACAGTTTGCTTACCTATTATTAACAGCTTTTTCTGGTATGTGAGAGTTTGTGATCAAATACATGCATGCATGTATGTCAGGCAATGATCTAATTTAGCTGCAACTTCTGATTATAGAGCTCACTTACTATGCATTTGTCTTGATTTGGAAATGGTTGATGCCATCACTGTCATATAATATTTTAAGTGCCATGTTGGTTGTCATAAGCTTTTGTTCAATTTTTACATTACTTGCTTTTCCCTGGGCTGTAGTTTGCACAATCTGACTGCCTCATCATGATTGTGTTCATTCCAAACATCTAAGTTATGGGTTAGCTTGTCATCTTGGCATCGTAAACCACCAACGCCGATTGCTCAACTTTGTTTTCTGCATTGTTGTTTACGTTCAGTGCTGCTAACTCAGAATTGTAGTTCTTTTTCCTCTTCTCCCTTGCTTACCTTTTATAATCCCAAGAGGCCATTTTACCAAAATTGAGCCAGAGAGATTGCTTGTTCCTAGCTTTTGTATACTTGATCTTTCGGATGCATGTAACGATGACTGTCTTAAGCTTATTTATGGTTGTATTTGCTTAAATCTTTGTCCTACAGGAATAAGTTTGACAGAGGAGCAATGGGCAGTCTTCAAGAAGAATGTACCTGCTATAGAGAACGCCATCAGTAAAATGGAGTCAAGGATCTGAAAATTTCGGAATGTCTTATCCTTTTCAACCTCCATTACCTTGTCGATTGTACTGGCTTCAGCTTTAGGGCTTCATATTGGTCTCTTGATGGCAGAATATTTTCTTTGGAGCTTGAAAACTGCTGTGATGTTTCTAATTAGCCCTTAATGTTAGAAGTCAACTTGTTGTGTTATCTGTTACAAATTAACACGTTCATACGAGATGTTGTCATATTCAGTTTTTAGAAGGAAACAAATAAAATAGAAATGGATGATCCTTAATCCTTCATCTTTGAAGAGAGATTCTTGTTTGTGTTTAGTGCACCGTCGAGTTATGGATTGTACAATCCAAACTCCATTTTATCTTAGTATTCCAGTGAAGAAATAATTAGCATACTAATTTTTAATGTCGTTCTTCAGTTAAATTACCTTCCAAGTGAAATTTAACTTGTTTGAGATTTGTTTTGCCCTTTTCAGGTCCAAAAACAAAGGAAAAAACTGAGAAAACACACATACTCATTGAATTATTCATAAATCCCTTGCCTTCATCATATGTACAAAATACTAAAACATAGTTCACTACAACATAATCTAACTAAAACCTCAAACATTGGGACAGAGAGAAACATGATGTTTCATGTCACCACAAACCACCTAGTAAATAGTAACCCTTTTTTTTTTTTTTAATTTAAAAATTTAGAAAGAAAAAGTAGAAAAAAAAAGACCCCCTTCAAAGATGGAGAAGATAGGCTTATATCCCATGATCAGTGGGCAACTTAAACAAGTTGGAGAAGATAGGCTTCCAAGTCCAAGCCCCTCTTTTTGTCTGCCTTGGAGTGCTTGGCAAGCCTGCAGTTGCAGTTGCAGCCATCCTCATTGTCTCAATCAGAGCCTCTGTGATGCCTTGTTCAGACAAAATCTCCTCCAATTGCTTAGTGTCAATAACCAGCTTCACTCTCCAAACCCCATCGCCACCAGAAGGCAGGACCTCAAGAGCAGATGACCCATTTGCCAAATTCTCAACAAAATCTGATCCTGCACCAAATGACTTCTTCACAGGCTCAGCTTCAGGAGCAGCCGCCTCCAGTTTCTCGATGACCCCATTCTCACAAACCAACTGATCTTCTTCCCTCAGTGGAAGAAGGAAGTATTGGCCACTCACTAGAAGCTCTTGCTCAGGCAACGGCAATGAGGCCTTGCCCTGTTGGAAAATGCCATGCCCTGGAAAATCAGTGAGGATTTCGGAAGCTAGTTTAGGGCCCTTGAATTGTAAGACTACCCCAGAATCCGTAAGAACCCTGATGGATTTAGGACACTCCCCAGAGGTTCCTTTGAGAGAAGAGCAATTCCCCATTGTGAAAATTTCCTACCTTTGGCCATAATTTCAGTGCCATATGTAAGGTTTTGAGGAATCTTTTGTCAAAATATCGGTGGACGGACAATGGGGTTGTGTCAGAACAGACACATTAGTCAGACACATTAGTTGTGTTCGAAATGTGTAAATGGCTGCATGTGAAACTTTGGACCGTTGGGACAATAATTTAAGCCTAAATTTGGGCCGATCCAAAGGCAAAGGAACAGAGTAAGAGGTAGATTCGTGAGTTAAAATAATAGTAGGAAACGACAGTTAGAAGAAGAAGACTAAGTTCAAATTTTGAGTGCCAAGGGATTTGTATTTGGCGGTAATGTAGGTGTTTGGTATTCCACCCTAAGAAAATAGTCATCTCTTTAGCCCTTCAATTTTGCAAATATGTTCAATGTATATCAGTATCACGGGTTGCATCCTCTCACGCATGTGTTAGGTCGAATATGGAGACAAACTAATCATGCGACCCCACAACAAATGAATGGAAAAATGAAAAATTGTTTGGCAATCTCGGAAAATATCATGTAACGGCGTAAGCATAAATACTATCGACTATCATGTAACGGCGATGTATTAGTGTAGAATTTCAGCCACACTCACTCACACAATAATTATTCATCACACACCCATAAGAATGAATGAAAATCTTTGTGTAGATATGGAACCATGGAATATGAGGCCTTAGAATTTAGCCACATTCTAAACAAAGCCGAAACATGATTTTGGTTTTGAAAGATTTAAGACTCCTATTTGCCTAGTTAATGATAAGAACGGCCTTGCTAAGAGACGAATTGCCCGCGTTTTGGGTTGAATTTAAATTTGTGGTATATGGAAGGTGTAATCCGAAGATTTTCATCACAAACCACACATTTCCAGCCACTAATACTTCTGTAAGATAACATGGCCCAATAAATCCAATAAACCAAACTTCAAATCATATTCCCACGTGGCGCCAACACAGGCTCACCTTGTTTATCCGAACACCACATATATCACCTCAAGCCTTGGCATCAAATCCACCCAAATTCCCTCCACACGTATAAACAACATTTGAGCTCTCTTTTCTTCTCATAAAAACCAACACTCATAAAACACACTCTAGCTTAGCTCACACACATTTTCTACGGTCCAGATTAAACCAAACTCATTTCCAAAAATGGGCTGCGCTTCCTCCAAAAGAGTGGAGGCTGCCGTGGACTACAAGCCTGCGCCGGCGAGCTATGCGGTCTTCGACATCAACGCCATCCAAGAGCCGTGGCTCGTATTCGACAATACGACGTTGCAGGAGCAGCAGCAGAGCCACGAAAAGCCTGCGCACGTGCCGGCCCAAATCCTCGACAAGCTCAAATCGTTAGAAACCGAAGCGGAAGCAGCCCCTCACACTTGGGACGAGGTCAGCAAGGCCCTAGAGGACCTCAAGCCCAAGACCAACCCGAAGTCCAAACCCGAGCCCAGCCCAACTCCTTCCCCGGCCCAGAACGAACAGACCAGTAGTAGGAAGCCCCGTAAGAGCCAGTCCTTCCACACGCTCGACGAGCTCGACAACCAGCTCGCTCCGAAACCGGCCGACTTGAGAAAGAGCGAGTCGATGCAGTCCCTGCGGAAGCTAAACACCGAGTCGACCCGGTCCGAGTCACGAGTTGACTCGGAGGCGACTCAGTCGACTCAGTCGGCGGCGGGTTACATCAAGCCGGTGAAGGAGAACATATTCATAATGAGGGACAGGCTGGAGAGAGAGAAGGAAGGCAAGCTGGCGATCTACGACAGGCTGATGAAGAGCAGGCGGGACCCACTGAGCGAGTACCCGGAGAGGTGCCCGCCCGGCGGCGCCGACTCTGTGGTGGTCTACACGACGTCGTTGCGAGGGGTGCGGCGGACGTTCGAGGACTGCCAGAAGGTGAAGGGGGTGCTGGAGGGCCATCAGGTGGTGTACGACGAGCGTGACGTTGCGCTGCACGGCGAGTTTCTGGGTGAGCTGAGGAGATTGCTGGGTGAGGAGAGCAATAACTGCGAAGGCGGCGTGGGTGTGCCGAGGGTTTTCGTGAAGGGGAGGTATCTGGGTGGGGCGGAGGAGGTGGTGGAGCTGAACGAGTCCGGGGTGTTTGGGAGGATGGTGAAGTTGGCACGCGTGGAGAGAGGGGTGGGGTGGCGAGCGTGCGAGGGGTGCGGTGGGGCCCGGTTCGTGCCGTGCATGGAGTGTGGCGGGAGTTGTAAGGTGGTGGTTGGAGATAAGAGGGAGAGGTGCCCCAAGTGTAATGAGAATGGGCTGGTGCAGTGTGTCGCTTGTTGGTCTTTAACGTAATTTCAATGGGAGTTGGGTATTTGTTTCTCTTTTTATTATATTTTATTTCAATGTTTGTGTATAAGTTTTTGATTGGTGGTAAAATAGAAAGACGAAGAAAGTGATTTGTAACTGTAAAATGTATATAGAATGTACAATTTAGCGCCAAAAAGTACCAAAATAAAAAATAAAAAATAAAAAATTAGAGGGCCCAACCGGGTTCGAACCGGTGACCTCTTGATCTGCAGTCAAATGCTCTACCACTGAGCTATGGACCCTTATTGATGTAAACTTCCAAACTTATAATATTTAACTAAACACAAACTGACGTATAGATAAAAAAACTCATATAATAGGTAAACGGTGACGTCTATTACGAATGAATGATTCGTGTGAAGCAATCAACATTCTGGAGGTTCAAGCACGGCCCCCATTTTGGACTCTGCTAATTAAATCTTGCTTAGACTAAGTCAGGTTTTCGAGTCAATATTTTTGGTTTTCCAGGAGAGAGAGAGAGAGATAGCCAGTCAAAATTTCAATTCAAGGATGCACATATTTTACTTGGTTTATCATATTTGGAATTTGCAGTTGCTATCATAGAATGTAATTATTATTGATTAAAAACAGTAAATAATGGAAAATAAATAAAGGCAGACAGGGAAACAGATAGATTATATAGGGCAACAAAACCAACCCTTTTTCTGCTGCAGATGGCCTAACTAGAAACTGCCTCCTACATACACATCAAAGATTCTTCTTCCCCCCTTTTTCTGCTAAATTGCTATAACTATACGCCAACCATCAACCATAACTCGGTTTTCAATTTGTTGTTTGTTACCTATTTCCTCATCAACATGTACCAAATTTTATGCCTTTCTCCAAGGACACCAATCCTATGTGTTTATCACATAACAAGGCTGGAAAAATCATAGTTGCTAAGAAATTTACTCCTACAAATTTCTGGATTTGGACTATTGATTAAGTTTTGCCGTTGCTCGAGTGTGGATTTCGTCTACTCATTAGGTTAAACGTTTATTTAAATTACTCATGAACATAAACGTGCGATTCAGATTAAAGTGTGATTCAGATTGACATTGACAAACCATTGAACTTGAGTCGCCGTTGCTCGAGTGTGGATTTCGTCTACTCATTAGGTTAAACGTTTATTTAAATTACTCATGAACATAAACGTGCGATTCAAATTAACGTGTGATTCAGATTGACATTGACAAACCATTGATTAGGTTAACCATTACTAGAAAATGGAAATGAACTAGTGAAATGAATATGTGATCCAGATTTATGTACAAGCATCATAAACTTGTATGAACTTGAGTCGTGTCGTAACATTACTTTTCATAATGAACTAATTAGAATCAAGGAAATATCATATATGGTACCAAGAGCAATAACATTGGAGTAAACCCTGTATAAAAATCTTAAGAAAAAACAGGTTTGATCTCTTGAAAACTCGCTTTCGAGTCTCCATACACATTACACAAATGAAGTAACACAAAATTATTTTCGATCACACGAGTTACTATGCATTCAGCACCATGTATTTTTATAACCTTATACAACTCATAATAAATATTCCCTTCTCATCGTCTGTACTTGCTTACACATTCCAAAAGAAAGAACA